CAGTTCTTGACTTTCAAATGAGAGCTCTGATGTGCCCTTACATGGAATTTCAAGTTTCTTCAACCTTGTGAAATCATACAGATGACAAATATATTGCACTTCATTTTGGGGAATAGCTGTTGCAAGACTGCTTTCATGTGAACTAGTGAATATGTGCTTGACTCTGCTCTGAAATCCACATTAACCTTCTAGAAACAGGCAACTGTGATTTTGGCATGCATCATGATAAAAGCATATAGAGATATCTACAGCTGAACAAATAGGATTTGGATAAAGCTGCAATAAAATTCAGTCTATAGGTTTAATGGGCTGTAATGCAGTATTGCTGAGGTCTGTTTGACTTTTCCAGTATTTAATCAAGATAGTTTCCCCTGTCATCTGGCCTTGGACTTTTATTTAACATTTAAGAGCCCCTTGACCCAGTCCATGATGTTATTATATACAGTATGTCCTTCAGACTATTGTTTCTCAGAAATTCTCAAGAGAAAAAGGTATTTTGGCTCTATAATTGTTCAGAAGGAAAATATGTATAATTAATTTTTCTTCTCTTCTGAAGTGGAGAGAAGATCGAGAAAATGCACAATTAGAAATAATTACATGAATCGTTGTTTTATTGTAAAATGTTTCAGGGTTTTAGTATAGGAAGTAGCCAAGAAATATTTAAGTTCTAAATCCTCTTTTACCTATTTTGACTTTTAGAGTAGTTTCCAATTAAATAGATTTTAGCATAAACTGTATTTAGATAATGATAGATAGATAGATAGATAGATAGATAGATAGATAGATAGATAGATAGATAGATAGATAGATAAGATTAGATAGATTAGATAGATATAGAAGCATCAACAGAACGAAGATAATATTGTATAAAATCTAGAATCTTGCCAAATTAGCAAGAATGACCTTTCACAGCTATGTTCGTTACTGCAATTATGCCATATTGAAATTCTTTAACTCAGGGGTGTCAAACTCAAGGCTTGAGGGGGGATCCGGCTCTAAGGGTCCTTAGATCTGGCCTGTGAGGCTACCCTAGAAACAGCGAAGGATTGACCAGTGGTGCCTCTGCCAATAAAAACAGAGCTCAGGAGGGCCGCAGGCGGCCCTCCTGAGCTCTGTTCTTGCTGGCAGAGTGTGTCCCTTTTTCGTGCAAATAATTTTGTTGCAGACTTTGAAATTTGCAATACTTCATTCTGTAAACAACTGATGTTTTCTGCAAGATGTAATTTATCTTCCGTTCACCTTTTGCTATCTCTTGTTGACTTAATCCAGTTCATAGAGGGTATATTGAACTATGGTTTTTGTGTGGCAAAGGATGAGAAGCCTTCTGCTGAAATCCGCAACTGTCTGTAGTCTGAAGAGGATGTAATAACTTTTGGTTCAAAGTAGACTATAGCCTTTAACCCTGTCCATTCAGGGGATTAAATCAGTCAATCCTAAAGTAAATGAACCCTGACTGAAGGACAGATACTGAAGCTGAAGCACAAATACTTTGGCCACCAAATGAGAAGAGACGACTTGTTAGAAAAGATCCTGATGCTGAGAAAGGTTGAAGGCTAAAGGAGAAGGGGACAAAAGAGAATGAGATGTCATCAACATAGTGGATATGAGTTTGGGTAGATTCAGGGAGATAGTGGGGGTTGGGCGTGTGGGGGACTAGTGTGTTATGGTCCATGGGATCACAAAGAGTCAGATACAACAATGATTGAATTTTTGTGTTACATTTATATTTACCGACAAAGAAATAAAGGGACACTCGTATAGATCTGTTTCAAATTTTCTGGAATTTGAAGCCCGTTATTTCTTTGTCGGTAAATATAAATTTAACAGAAAAGTAGTTTGTCGCGAAACCGACTGCCTGCGAAGGCTTGTGGATTGGGGTGAAAGGTGAAAACAGAAGCACTATGCTCTGTCCCATAATTGGGTAGATTGGGTTGCCCTGATAAAAAACACTTAGGGTCTGAACAAATTCAGGAGATTCTTGGGTGATCATACCGCATATAGTCTCCCTAACTGAGAACTTAAGACCAAAGGTTCAAGTTCTTATTTTATTTAATTAAATTTATATGTCTGCCCATCTCACCAGAAGTGACTTTGGACAATGAACAATAACAAAACAAAAAGCTCATAAAAAAAAGTTGGAAAATGTTTTTATTTTTTCAATATTCACAAACTTTGGACTTTTGCCCATTAGAGAAGATTAAGGCTAATTTGTTGCCCTAGGATACCTTGCTGATATTTTTTTTATTCAATTCTGATTTAAATTCTACCTTATAACCGTTCTCCTATTTCAGTTGGTATTGGGAGCATGGAAACCTTGCATTTTCCCCATTTATGTAACAATTGTATGCTAGTGTGGCTGCTGTGTGCCATTCTGGCAAAGCAGTGCTACATGTGGCACAGAGATTAGTGGAATTCAGGACTTTTTCAATTGGGCAATCATAGGAATACATAAAATAAGCTGCCTTGTATTCCATCGGCTATGCCTCCTGGTTAATGCAAATTGCAGTTGTCGTTTTATATATCCTATGGGATGTGTGATCATGGATTGGCCTCCTAGATATAGCACTGACTTTAAGCTACTATACTTTGGCACTAATTATATACAGTTACTACATAAGTGGAATGTACAATACAATGCAAAAATAGTTTGATAAGAGGCTGATATTTCCATGTGAATGAATGGAGCCGTTGCCGCACACATATTCACGGCATCCCCCTGCAACAGTTGTATTAGGGGTGCCAAAAATAGAAGAACAGGGACTATTTTGGGACTGTTGTTTCCTAATGGACAGAGATTAGGAAAGAGATCACAGAAGTGTGGCTGTCTTGTTCCTTTCCTTCCTTTTTCCTTTTTAATCATGCTTGCCTCAGTAACAAACAGAATAATTGATATATTGCTGCTGTATCAATATTCGTAGAAAATTAGAAATAAGCTTTGTGATAAATATGTTATTTCATATTTGAATTGATCCCTTAAACAAAAGTAGACTTAGTTGAATAGATATGGTACTCCCGTGAGCCTTGGCATCATTAAACATTGAATAATGCATGGGCTACATTCCAAAATAGACATATCTAGATGTCTAGATCTAGATCTGCATCAAGCAAGAATCCTCTCTATGGTCAAATTCTATTAGGAGGTTGTTATTATTAATTTCAAAATTCAAACAATTATCTTATTACCAAAAAGTAGTTATCATAAATGTCATAATGCTCACAGACACATGTTTTTTCAAACAGTAAATCCAATATTTATTTGTATTTGGGTGGTTCGTGGTCATGGTGCTTTGCGTTATATTTTAATATAATGAAAGAAAAGGAGAGATTCCTTTTTCAAGGAGTCTCTGGGAAGGAGCCTTTTAATCAAAGTTTAGAAAAGGGAATTCTGAACTTTGCTGATATTGTTGCTGAAAATATGGTGGCAAAAAGCAAGTTGTCCCAGTAATACAAAAAGAAAAAAAAATGTTCAGGCAGGCATCTGAAGGAGATAAATAGAGTACTTTGAGGTCAAGAGAATTATTTCTGACTGAGCATATGCTCTGAATTACTTTATAAACAATTAAATGAGTCTCTGACTCATTAAGTATGCATGTCATAGGCTGATTCAATATACACAATTAATCTTTTGACTTGGCTGATAACACTGTTGTTGCTGTTAAAAGATGGAATAAGCTTTCCAGATGTGCATTTGAAATACCATACTTTCCAGCAATAGCAATAGCACTTAGACTTGAGCCTGGTGGGATTTGAATTGCCAAATTGCAGGCAGCTGATACTCAGCAGAAGTAGCCTGCAGTACAACACTCTAACCCCTGCGCCACTGAGGCTTTCCAACTTTTCTGACTCAGTGGACCAGAGGCAGTGCCACCAGTAGTGGGAGGGAAGAGGGGATGGTTGCACGCACATGCCCCTGTGGCCCAGTTCTGAACGGGCTGTGGCCTGGGGGTTGGGAACCCCTGATCTAGAGAATACTTGGTTGGGGAAGTTTGGTCTAGGCTTGGGGTCCCCAAACCCTGGTCCATGGACCGGCACTGGTCCGTAGCATGCCAGAAACCCATCTGCGCAAACAAGCAAAGTCCCAGCCACAGGATCTAGGCAGCACATGACCCCCCCCCCCCGATGCATAGAAAAACCTCTCTCCAAGGAATCGGTCCCTGGTGCCCAAAAGCTTGGGAGCCGCTGGTCTTAGTAACTATATCTTGGAATAACTTGGCAGTACAATAAAAGCCTTCTAACTATTTCATTTAACATTTAAAAGTATTGTTTAAAGCAGCAGTCACCAACCGGTGGGCCGCAAGGAAATTTTGGTGGGCCTCAGAGAAATCTCACCCCCAGAGCATTCCCCCCCCCCCAAAGCAATAAATCCTGGCTGTGCAGAAACACAAGGCTGCACCACCCACATGGCCCACAGGAACTCTCCTCGCCCTTACCCGGCAAACTTGCCTGTTAAATTGCTATTTTTCCTTTTTCCGACCATCAGCTGTTCTGCTGTGCTGGGAAATTTAGATTAGCTAGGAAGCAGGAAATGGTTGGATTTCTTGCTTTCTAGCTAGTCTTTAGACCTTCAGCTCTGCTTTTAAGTACAGCCAAACCTCCCTTAGGACCAAAGGTTCTATTATTCAGTGCAGACTCACGGCAAGCAAATTTTATGTGACAGACTGAGTAGCTGATGGCAGATAGATAGATCTCTGAATGAATCTGTGATTCTGTGAGCAGCTCAATCTGATTGACTGCTTTGCCTGATTTTGGGTAAAAGTCGCTCCTTTTCTTTATAAAAAAATCAATATTTATATAAATATGTATAATATTTACATACAAGCCATGCCCAGCCAGTCACTTGACCACCAAGCCACACCCACAAATTAGGCCACACCCACAGAACTGGTTAGTGGTCCCTGGGATTTAAAATTAGGAGTTTGGTGATCCCTGAGGTCCAAAAGGTTGGCGACCCCTGGTTTAAAGCATTCCTGCAGTAACCTTTATTTTCTTCCTTCCTCTAGCATTCCCATGGTTTGGCATGGACATTGGTGGGACCCTTGTTAAACTGGTATACTTTGAGCCAAAAGACATTACCGCTGAGGAAGAGCAGGAAGAAGTGGAAAACCTCAAAAGCATCAGGAAGTATCTGACTTCCAACACCGCCTACGGTAAAACAGGGATCCGAGATGTCCACCTGGAACTGAAAAACTTGACTATGTGCGGACGTAAAGGGAATCTCCATTTCATCCGTTTCCCAAGCTGTGCTATGCACAGATTCATACAGATGGGCAGCGAAAAAAACTTTTCAAGCTTGCATACCACGCTTTGCGCCACTGGAGGGGGAGCCTACAAGTTTGAGGAAGATTTCCGAATGGTAGGTGAATTTACGTTCTGCCTTCGTTCAGGAGCATTCCTACTCCCTGTGGTAAGACTGCCAGTTCAAATTCAGGGAAGTCGTCTTTATGTTTTAATCCCATCAAAGCAGGGGTCGGCTGCTGGGGGTTCGCAGGGGTTCGGGAGAGCCTCAGCTAAGATTCTGCGCAGTTCCCACTCAAATCCCACCCCTGGCTGGACCTACCTACCCCATCCCACCCCTCCTAGGAGTCTCCACGTGGCCCATTTTGGATACAGGGCACATGCAGAAGCTCAGGGACGGTGAAAAATGGGCCTCCTGGAAGTTTGGGAAGGCTGGACATGGGCCCATTTCCGGCTTCCAGAGACCCTCCGGAGCCCGGGGAGGCTGTTTTTGCCCTCCCATAACTTGAGGAAAGCCTCTGGAGCCTGAGGAGTGCAAAAACGCCCTCCCCTTCCCCCGCCGTGATGCAGGAGGCCAACTAGGCCAACCCACCATGGCCATGGCCACCCAGCAACCAGGCAGAGAACCCTTTGCTAAAATGTTTGAAGCCCACCCCTGCATCAAACCCACTTTTCAGCTTAAATGTATTTATTAAGAGGAACATTTTACTGCATTCTCTAATGTCATTGATACTGTAAGTAGGTATATTTGGTCCAGACTTCACACATCTTAGATGGCTGAGGGTGCTATTTTGTCATGTCAGCGTTTGTGCTATACTGAGACTTTTAAAAAAAAAAATTGCATAGGAATTGTGGTAAACTTTGTCCCACTAAACTCTACAACTATCAGTATTGCAATAGTGCTGCTTTATAGCCTCCTAAACCTCTTAGTTTTGCATCCCTTAAAACAAAATTGGGAAACCTGTCATATGAATGGTAAGCTGCTTCCTGCTCGATGATTCAGAAGTCACTTGGGTGAGCTTACAAACCTGAGCTACATTTTAAGAGTGGAGGGTTTTTAAAAATTATTATTTCTTTTACTTTTGGTTAAGAGGCTATGCTTTTCCCCCCAGAAACCAAGCCTTATTAACCTGTGTTAAATGATTTGTCATGTCTATATAGGTGACCCTGGACGTACTTCCACAAGGGAGCCCAAAATTTCTGTTGTAAAATGAGATATTTGTGAAGTGAATTTTGCCCCATTCCTTGCCACGGTTATTAAGTGATAAGTTAGTAATCCAGTCGTTCAGTGAACCTGGCTTCCCCATTGACATCGCTTGTCAAAAGGTTGCAGATGTGATCACATGACCTTGGACACAGCAACGGTCATAAGTATGTACCCGTTGCCAAGCATCTGTATTTTGATCAGATGACCATGGGGGAGGCGACAAAGTTTGTAACTGTGAAAAACGGTCATAAGTCACTTTTTCCAGTGCTTGTTGTAACTTTGAACGGTCAGTGAATGGAGTGTTATAAGTTGAGGACTACCCATCCAGTTTAGAAAGGATGATAGCTTTTGCCACTTTCGCCTAAGAAAAAAAAACAGAATTCTCTTTGTGGTTGCAACAGTAAATATTGCTTGTAGGAAAGGCTACTGTATAGGTAGCCCTCGACTTACAACAGTTACAACAGTTTATTTCGTGACTGTCCAAAGTTACAACGGGGCTGAAAAAATGTGACTTGTGACCAGGGGTGGGATGCTACCGGTTCTGTCCGGTTCTAAAGCTTTCTTTTGTGCGGCACAGCTGAGCTTGAAAAAGCAGGGAAAAAGTGGCTTTTCAAACGCTTTTCAGCTGTCTGAGCGGCACATCCTAAGGTTTTTTTTTACACATGTGCGCACACAAAACGTAGTCACCAATACGAAACATAACACCAGTTGAATCCCACCCCTGCTTTTCACAGTTACGACCTTTCTAGCATTTCTCCCATGACCATGTGATCAAAATTCAGATTCTTGGCAGCTGGTTCACATTGATGACAGATGCAGTGTTCCCACGGTCGTGTGAATCCCCTTTTGCAGCCTTCTGACATGCAAATGAGGAAAACAGAATCACTTAACCACCGGGTTAGTGACTTATCAACTGCAGTGATTCACTCATGAAGGGTGTGTGGCAAGAAGGGTCATAAAATGGGGGCAAAACTCCTTTAACAAATGTTTCACTTAACGGCAGAAATGTTGGGCTCAATGGTGGTCATAAGTCGAGGACTACCTGTATTTGGGTATTTCTTATGCTGGTAGTCCTCAGCTTGCAACCACAATGGAGCCCAACGTTCCTGTTGTTAAAGGGAGACTCTTTGTTCACTGAGCTTTGCCCCATTTTACGACTTTTCTCGCCACAGTGGTTAAGTGGATCAGTAACACGGTTGTGAAGTGAACCTGGTTTCCCCATTGACTTATTTGTCAGAAGATCGCAAAAGATAAATCACACGACCTTGGGACCCTGCAACCGTCATAAATACAAGTCAGTCACCAAGCATCTGAATTTTGACCATGCGACCAGTGGTGGGATTCAAAAACTTTTACCACCGGCTTGGTGGGCGTGCTTTGCGCATGTGCGCACACTTTGCGTGCACAGGTGTGTCAAACACAGAGGCGCAGAGGCGTTTGCACAGGTGCAGAGGTGTTCCAACTCCCCTCCTGCAAGCCTGCACTCTCCCGGTCGCTTCCGCAGCTTTGCGCGGCACTCTTCTGTGGTGCGCAAAGCAGCTGCGCTTCAAAAGCAGAAAATAAAGGTGAGTGAGTATGGGAGCCTGGGCCGGTGGGTGGGCCCAACAGCAGAGAGAAGTGGTTCAGTCTTGGTTGCTCATCACCACTACCGGCTCGGTAGAACCGTGTCGAACCGGTACATACCACCACTGCATGTGACCATGCAATGATCGTAAGTGTGAAAAATGGTCATAAGACACTCTTTTCAGTGACATAACTTTGAATGGTCACTAAATGAACTGTTGTAAGTCGAGGACTGCCTGCATTTTGTTTTGAAGTCTTCCGTGAGAAATCTCTGGTTCTCCAAACAGTGCTGATGGGCTCCTGCATCTTAACATTCCTCACCTCTGACTGGTAACTTCCTTTTCTCATTCTGCCTTTTCATTATTGTCAGTAAGATTCCTGGAAACAGGAAATGAAAAGTCACAGTGAGAATTACACAATAGAATAAAATTACACAATAGAATAGAATAGAATAACACGATAGAATAGAATAGAATTACACAATATAATAGAATTACACAATAGAATAGAATAGAATTACACAATAGAATAGAATAGAATTCTTTATTGGCCAAGTGTGATTGGATACACAAAGAATTTGTCTTGGTGCAAATGCTCTCTGTATACATAAAAGAAAAGATACATTCGTCAAGAGTCAAGTATTGTAAGGTACGACACTTAATGATAGTCATAGGGTACAATAAGCAATCAAATCATACTAGGAAACAGTCAATATAAATCTAAGGATACAAGCGACAAAGTTAAGAGTATTCAGTGTGTTTCTCATACTGGCTGTTTGGCTTGAAGCATAAGCAGGGGTGGGATTCAACCAGTGTTACTACTGGTTCGGTGACTACATTTTGCGTATGCGTTCAGGCTTCACTTGCACACACGCCTGACACGCGCTGTGCGTGCGTGTAAAACACCTTAAGCTGTGCTGCCCAGACAGCTGAATAGTGCTGCGCGTGGGTGCGCAGCGTGTGAAAAGCCACTTTTTTTCCTGCTTTTTCAACTTCAGCTGTACCATGCAAAGCAGCTGAGATTGAAAAAAGCAGAAAATAAAGGACAGGTAAGAGCCCAGGCAGGTGGGTGGGCCAAACAGCAGCAAACACAGAACCAATTCGGTGTCTGCTGCTCTTCAGAGCTACCGGTTCTATAGAGCCAGGCAGAACCGGTAGCATCCCACCCCTGAGCGTGAGGTGAGGTGTAAAGGAAGTAAGGCAAGGTGTGTATATCTCTTTTGGGATCAGGTGTAACATGGGGATAACATTGGGGTAACAAGCACACACACTTCCTTTCCTCCCCCCCCCCCGTTGCGTTTCCTGCTTCAGGCCTTCACAGGCAGCTTAGTTTGAAATGGAATCACTTCCATCTATCAACACTTTTCTTTAGCCTTTATTCATCGTCTACGAAAGCGCAAGCCATGGGTTTCAAATTGTACATAATTCATTACTGGTGACGGATAGAGGCCTCAACAGCAGGGATGGTAATAAGAGAGGTGTAACTGAAGCCACATACAGAGTTTTGGAATGTTTTTTGCTGATTCAATTATGCATCGTTCGTATTACGGTTTGCCTGGAGGCTATACGGATGGTCCTCGACTTACGGCCTCAGTCGAGCCCAAAATTTCTGTGGTTGAGTCAGACATTTGTTAAAATGAATCTTGCTCCCCTTTTACTACCTTTCTTGCCTCAGTTGTTAAGTGAATCATTGCAGTACATAAGTTAGTAAGTGAGCCTGGATTCCGCATTGACTTTTGCTTGTCAGAAAGTCGCAAAAGGGGATCACGTGACCCCTGGGACACTGCAACCGTCATAAATATGAACTAGTTGCTAAGCAACTGAATTTTGATCACATGATGATGGGGATGTTGGAAAGGTCGTAGCTGTGAAAAACGGCTGCTGTTTTCAGCGCTGTTGTAACTTGGAATGGTCACTAAATGAACTATTGTAAGCCGAGGACTACCTGTATAAGATGTAAGAGGTAAGAAAAAAGCACAGGAATCTGAAAACAAGCCAGTTGTGCCTCTTGCTGTTTTGTTTATTAGTTTAAATAATTTTTGAGATATAAGCTTCATCTAATCATAATATTCCAATCAAGACTGGTAAGTCTGATGGCTACTCAGCATAAGTTGTATTAGGAATGCCATAGTTTCTAACACAGGTCATTAGGTAAATGGTTAAAAACTTGACTATATAACCCAGGGGCCTCCAATCTTGGCAACTTTAAGACTGGAGGACTTCAACTCCCAGAATTCCCCAGCCAGCATAACCCATTGCCCAGACATTGAATTTAACACATAAAAGAATTAGATATCTTTTCAATTTTACAGCCCTTAAAAAAAATCATTTTTTTTTAAAAAAAATCCTGGTTTCATTTGATGAAATTACCCTGGAAGATTATAACAGAGCTTCCTGAAATGTTGTTGGCTGTAAGTAAATTGTTAAGCAATGACGAATTACAAAATTTGGTTAGGTTTCCACATTTAACAGACTGCTGATGTTAACAACAACTGCATGATGCAACTGTGTGTTTCTAAGAACTAGAAATCATTTGAGGATTTTTCTATAGTACACACCTTTAAAAAAAAATCTCATCATACTTCTTGCAAAACATTGTTGTGCAGGTTTTTGTTTGAATGGACTAACCAGAGTTAAAACTGGAACAAGGGGACTAAAGGTAGTCCTTGATTTACAACAGTTCATTTAGTGTCTGAAGTTACGACGGCACTGAAAACAGTGACTTATGACCATTTTTCACACTTATGACCGTGGCAGCAGCCCCATGGTCATGTGATTTACATTTGGATGCTTGACAACAGATTCACATTTATTGTAGTGCCTCAGGATCATGTGACCAATTTTTGCCATCTCCTGAAAGCAAAACCAATGGGGAACCCAGATTCACTTAACAACCATGTTACTAATTTAACAACTGCAGCAATTCACTTAACAAATGTGGCAAAGCATAAAATGGGACAAAACTTCACAAATTTCTCAATTAGCATCATAAATTCTGGGCTCAAGTCGAGGACTACCTGTTCGATCCTTCTTTCAAAACACCTTCGATTTTTGGTTCTACTGTGACCTCGTCACAAAATCATAGCAACCTTTTTCCCCAATTCTCAGAAACAAAACACATCCTGACCAGGTAAACACAAACTTGTTGTCAGGCAGACAGCATACTTGACTTGACACTTCCTGTGTAAATAGTTATTTAGTACTCAGGGTTTTGATCTATTGGGTAATTCAAATAGTACAAAGTCTTCAACCCTATTATGTTTTCAACTTTCTGCAGATTTTTCTGCTGTGTCGACGAATGTTCATTTATTAACTTCTCTTCCAGATTGCTGACCTCCAGCTTCATAAGCTAGATGAGTTGGACTGCCTGATCCAAGGTCTTCTGTATGTGGATTCTGTCGGCTTCAATGGCCAGCCGGAATGCTATTATTTTGAAAACCCCTCAGCCCCTGAGCGTTGTCAGAAAAAGCCTTACCGCCTTGATAACCCCTTTCCTATGTTGCTAGTGAACATTGGCTCTGGAGTCAGCATCTTAGCAGTGTATTCCAAAGACAACTATAAAAGAGTTACAGGGACCAGGTGAATATACTACTTTCCTAAAATAACTTTTTCCTGATGTAAAGATTCTCAGCTCATTCTTGAGCTGGGAATTGGGATACAATATTTGTATTTTGGGTATGGCTTTGGCACGATGAGCAACAATATAAATATTATTATTTTTTATTTATTTATTGAATTTCTGTGCAACCCATTTCACTAACACTGTGATTCTGGGAATCTTATAATAAAATGCAAAAAGAAAAAAACAATAATGGATATTAAAGAAAAGGTACTTTTGTAGGATATATGGAATAACCAACTATTTGGGTTAAGACCCCAGAACTGTTAGCTGATACAATTAAGCAAAGTCTTTAGAGAAATACAACCTCTCCCCCCACACAAAAAAATTCCAAAAATCTCTGAAATCAACAGCTTGTTATACTTTCATATTCAGTCCCTGAAAAATATATTCTCCCCAAATCTCAAATTTGTTATCATCCCTTGTTTGTGTATTCCAAGTAAGTGCTTTGTAAAATGAGTGAAAATACGCTTTTTTAAATTAGAGAATGAGTTTGATAGGGAACAGAATCTAATGGCTAGGAGTCAAATAATTTTATTTTAAATTATCTTTATTCAAGACCTGTAAAATTATATATAGTATCAGTGTTCAGACTAATCCAAAAGAAGAGATTCCATCAGACACAATTGTCCAACTTCCCAACTTTTAACGATGCTGTATACCAGAGGTGGTATTCAGCAGGTTCTGACCAGTTCTGGAGAACTGGTAGCGGAAAATTTTGAGTTCGGAAAACTGGCAAATACCACCTCTGACTGGAGACAAGATTTTACAGTATCCTTCCCCTGCCACGCGCACCAAGCCACTCCCACAGAATCGGTAGTAAAAAATATTGAATCCCACCATTGCTGTGTACTCCTTTACCTGTTTATTGTAATTCTTCGTTGGAAAAATTGTAAAAAAGAAAGTCTTTTTTCATATGTAATTCTAAATACAGATGGGTGATTTTAGTTATGTCTGCAGTCCCAAAATCAGTTTGCTGTTAGCTGTTATTAGCCAGTATCACACAAATTGGATGGACTGCACTATTCTTTTCTTTTCTCCAAAACTCTACCCTTAGCACCTCAGTTTCTATTAGTTTTTCTTTTTTCTTCTAAGATAGGCAGCACAATTAGAGGCTGCCAAATGAAACAAAAAAAAAAGTATTGGGGACTGCGTGCAGAACCTGAGTGTCTATCTTTATTCTAAATCATGGCTTTAACACTGCAGGAATTAGTAGCGGTAAGCCATAGAGTGGTGCCTCAGTACTCATTGTTAATTGGTTCTGGGAGGCACCATGTTTGGTACTCATCATTCCAGGAACCAAAAACAAAAAAAGTACTAAACATTTTTTCCCATAAAGAATAATGTAGTGAGTCACAAGGCAGCCAACACTGACAAGTTCTAGCTTGTGCGTTGAGTACCACACAAACAATGAACACCGGATGAAATTTTCCTGTCAAAATGTGTGGAGTACCAAATTCAATGAGTTTCAAAGCAGTTGAATACCAAGGTAACCACTGTACATCAGTGCTGAACAGTAACTTTGCAACCAATTCTCACATTTAGGACTTTCTCAGGTCTGTAAAGTAAAGGAAAGCTGAAGTAAAATTGTAATGTTCCATTTAGTGACCGCTTTGCTGTACAATGGGTTGCTGGTCCTAATTGTGATCACTAAATGAGGATTGTATATTGACCTCCAGGAAGAGATTGAAAATGTCCCACTATGAATTAGAAAGTGATGAGAGCTTCTTGTGTGAACTGAACTTGAAGCTGAGGCATGGGGGATGGAAGAAGAAAAATTTAGAAACCAATTTTGATTAGTTTTGAAACAGAAAGTGGGTGTTTTCTACCTTTTAATGGCTCTGCAAAAGAAACGGCCAGAGTCCAAAACTTGCTTTGGTTTTTCTCATATAATGCTAATCTAGTCTGGTGTCTTCCAGATATTTCAGATTATGATACACAATCCTTCCCATAGGAAATGCTGATCAAACTGACAGGAGTTGGTCTAAAATATTTAGAGATCCGATTTTACTGCTCTGGGTTTAATTGTATGCTTACAATAGGCTGTTTTCAGCTCTTTAGACTTAAGGAATAGGGCTCCCAGACCCATTTCCCTGCTAGGAATCATTCAGCCAAGCTGCTTAGATAATAAAAGCACGTCTCATTCCATTCTGTCATTGAAAATCCTTCCTGCACTACATTTTAGTAGGTGCTGATTTAGTACAGTAAATATGCTATCTAATTTTAGTATAGATAGAGGCAAAAGTTTTTTTCAAACTAAATAAAGCTTCAGAGTAAAGAAAATATATGATGCTTGCTTAGAGATAAATAATTATTTCAAAATGAATAATTTTCATCAGGAACTTAGTGGATATCTTACTCTTTAATATTGCTGACTGAAACATGAGAGTCTAAATAGGCAGAATTGATGTCACTTAAGAGAACAGTTGGCTATAAGGTTGTGCATTTTGTATGTTTCACATCGCCAGCTTTCACTGAGGTGAGAAACACTACACAAATGAAGTTTTTACAATCATCAGTCTTACTGCCTACTGTTTTCTTAACTCTGCAAGCAGCCTCGGTGCCTAGCTGAATGTAGGAGGCACTGGATTCTTTCATAAAGCAACCAATGTCACAATCATAGAAATATTGTATATCTAGGTATATTTCACTGCAGCCCCTAAAGAGAGAGAATTAAAATTCTATTCAGGATTGTTGGAACAAAGAAACCCCAACTCTTGTCAAACATATGAAATGATATTTTTTTGCTTTCTAGTCTTGGTGGTGGTACATTCCTGGGTCTGTGTTGTTTGCTGACTGGCTGTGAGACCTTTGAGGAAGCTCTAGAAATGGCAGCTAAAGGAGACAGCACCAATGTTGATAAGCTGGTGAAGGATATTTATGGAGGAGACTATGAACGGTTTGGTCTTCAAGGATCTGCTGTTGCATCAAGGTACGCATGGACAAATTGCAATGCAAATTCTGTGACTTTATTTATACCTGTATTATTGCTTCATATTGGTTCATATTGGTTCATATTGCTTCATGCTAATCTAACTACCATCCCCATCCATTCCATGTTAGTCAATGACAGTCAGCTATTATTGTCCTGTTAACAAGGATAGGAAGTGTTTTGCAGCCTGATGGCTACACTTCTTAGTTACAGCAGTGAGTGGTTTGACACTGAAGGTTGTGGTGAATAACAAGATGATGACACAAAATGGGCAAAGCTACGCAGAGAGGGAAGATGGGATTTTGGGGATTGGGGGGATAATTTTTCAATGCTTCAGTTGTGCATTCTAAACCTCCAGTAAAATGCTAGATTTTGCAGCATGCCCTATAAGTTACAAGCAAGCATTTTAAGGCTCTAGATCAGGGGTGTCAAACTCAATTGCTTCACAGACCGGATCACGCCGTATCGTGACGTTTTATGCCTTTGTGGAGCGAGGGTGGGCGTGGCCTTCATGGGTCGTATCCGGCCCATGGGCTGCTAGTTGAACAAGCTTGCTGTTGATGGTCTATAGCTAATTAACTTCTGTCATCGGGATTGATAAATAAAAAAATGAAATAAAATGAATTTTCAGATTGTAAAATGAAATCAGAAAACCAACCAGCATCCTGAAAACAGTAAATTGTATTATGCACAATTCAATTTATCAATGCAATTACTCAAATTAATTGCCAAACTTCAAGAATGATTTACTGTAGATCTGGCACATTCACTTTCCAAATTTATTTATTTATCAGGCCCCCTATAGCTTATTCCTGATTACTGTTATGTGATTTAGGAACCCAATCTGTAAACTCAGCATAGCTTAATTTGCTGAGCTATACTTTGAGAGGACTGGAATAAACAGGCTTCACCAAAATTTGTTCATAAGAATGTAAGAAATATGCTGGATCAGATCCAAGACTCATCTAGTACAATGGCCCTGTTAGTTTTAGAAGAATAAAAACAAGATAATTATGACCAAGGACTATATACTGTATATTCTATAGGAGTTGATCCAATTTCCCTTTAGAAACCAGTCAGATTAATGGCCAACATTGTATCTTGCAAAATAGTACATTTCAAAAATTGACAATGCACCGTGTAAAGTAATACTTTAAAAAAAATCACGACCTGGATAGTCCCAAGCTCTGTATTCTGGGAATATTTCCCATACTACTTTCTTTCTGTCTTGGTCCTCTGTTGAATAACCTTTTTTCTTAAACTGAACACCCTCCCCCCATGTTATAAGCATTCCTTATTTTATGCTCTTTAAATCCTAGATCCTTTTGACTTTTCTGTATTCTCAATTGTTTTACAATATCCTTTTAAAAAGTTCCTCTCTGAGAACACTAGAAGGTTAGTGGGCCAGGATTCAGCTTTATAAAATAAATATTGATTCTTCTGTGGTAACTTTTATATGCTTGATATCAAGTTATATTTAATGAGGGTGAGGATTACCTGTAGCTGGAATTGATCAGTTCTCTCTATTTGTATGTGAGCGTGTGTTTTGCTTCCTGAATGAATGGCTCTGTATATCCCAGACAAATTCTTTAAAACATATTTTTAGAAACCTTGGCCTTTCTGAAAAATATAAGAAAGATCACATCCTCTAGTATTATCACACAGTTTCGGCAACATGATGAGCAAAGAAAAGCGAGAGACAATCAGCAAAGAGGATCTGGCAAGAGCAACGTTAGTCACCATCACCAATAACATTGGCTCCATTGCTCGGATGTGCGCCTTGAATGAGGTGAGATCATTTTAATAGCAAGCTAGTTTTGGGTTACTAAGAAGATTGGGAGTTTTGGTTTATAATACCTTCTCTGACCAATGAAAACATTGAACACTCCTTTAAAGCAGAGGTTTCCAAGCTTGGCAAGTTTAACACTTGTAGACTTTAATTCCCAGAATGCCTCAGCCAGCATGTCTGCCTGAGGAAATCTGAGAATTGAAGTCCACAAGCCTTAAAGTCGCCAAGATTGGATACCCCTACTTTAAAGTATTCCACGATATGAACTGATTCTACTGTTTTTTCTTTTTAAAAAAAACCACTAAAATGATTTTTTTTTTATAGTGTGCCTTTGCTAAGTTGTTAAGAACTTCACTTAAGTAGAATGATCACTGTTCCTGAGACTAATTCTTTGAGCCTATAAGTGGGATTCTGTGTTTGCTCAAGATTTACTTTTCAGAGGTTCTGTTTAATTTGAACCCTCCAATATTTACACCGAAAGCATATGGACCCCATTAACTTAATGGTAGTGTTGGGTCATTATTGAAACAGCATATTCAGTATGATTTCCATACGTTGTTTGGTCCAGTGATCTGAATTCTTTCCAATTTTGGAAACTTTGTTTTAGTGGCAGTGCCATAACAATTAGCAATAGCTAAATACCTTTTCATTTGTATTTTAGCCATAGCAGAGAAAAACTACACAATTTTTTAAAGGTAAAGCGATAAAAATACCTGTTTATACAAGTGTTATAACCTGATTTGATCATGACTATATTAGAGTATTTTAAAGGTATGTCAATGATTGGGAACCTTCATCATCTGAGGCTGCTTTCCATCCTCCCAAGTCCTCAGATCTTCTTCATTGAGGACAAGCTCAAAGCAGGTTTTTCCCCCCCTGCTGCTGGTGCCTCGATAGCTTTTGTCCCCTGGAGTCTGATGATATCAGCAGGAGAGGAGAAATTGGACCCTGTTTTTTTTTCCTCAAAGATATTGCTAGCACCTGTTATAAACTGTGTGGTATCATTGCTAGAATGTTGAATCTGGATGTGGGGACTTCAGCTATAAAGACCAATAACTCCTCAAGCAAATTGACCAATATAAAGACCAATAACTCCTCAAGCAAATTGACACTGGCATAACCTATCCCAGACAGTGACTGTTAAGCCTTAAATATGACGCTGTGTACAATAGCAACTTATCTTACTGCCCACTGGTAAAACCTGGCAGCATACAGGTTCAATATATTGCCTCTCTTATACCACTTTTCAGTTCAAAGATAGTAAGAGAATACATGACAAGAGGAAGGAAGACACTGGCATATTGTCAAACAGTTCAGTGGTTGAATAGGTTAGGTGAAATGCAGGCGTAAGATGTTAGCGTATCAAACCGAGGACCTGTTTCAGTTGCTTCTGTGTATTGGTGACCATAAGCTTTTAATATTCCTGAATATTTTACATAGGAATATCAGTGGAAGCCTCTGCAATAATAAGTGGTCCTGAACATCCTCTTTGCTTTCAGCTTCTTTACAGTGTTGCCTTGTGGCATGGAGTTCAAGCAGCATTGTACAGGGCTATCAAAGCATAGAGAGTTAACTGCAATAGCAACACAGCTTTATAAATATAAAGAGACCTAGGGAGAACTCGTAATATAACCTGTTTAGCTTTGAAAGAGGAGTATTGTTAATGAAGGCTTGCGAGAACATATGGGAATGGGATTCTTTATGTTTCAGACAAATTCTGTATTTCTATTACTATCTAATTTCTGTTCTGGCAGCAGAAATGGACTGCAATTTTAGATATGCGTTCCGGTGATCTGTGAATCCCAGCAAATGTTTGCAAAAATCTGGAATTCATGAAATTTTTGCTCATTCAATACAGTCTTTTGAGTTCCGGTCTAACAATTTGCAGCTGCTTGCATAATAATCCATTAGCCAGTTTAATATAATGCTCAGGTTAGCAAATTTGGGAGCCTTTTCAAAGAATAGTTCCTGGTTTTGTAGGAGAGATGGAATTTGGCTGATTTTGCAGTTGTGGTAGACAGTAGCTTGTTCTTATGGTGATCTGTGATTGATTTGATTTGGTAGTTAAAGTGAGACTGTACAGAATAACGGAGGAGAGTGCAAATGAGCACGTGGTCTGAGCAGTGATTTTCCAAAAATATTGGGAGAAATCTAAATTAAGCTCATGCCTTACAATACATACTTGGAGTCCATAATTGTGAAAATTGTGAGACTCTGTCTGTGCAGCATCTTAATTCCATAGTTATTTCAGTTCAAGAAACTTTAACTGTGGTCTGAATTCAAAGGCACTATCTTGCATGTTGCAGTTGTTTCTCTAATGCTTCCAAATAATGAATCCACCTAGTAATACCTGGTTAGACTCATTAGACCAAAATTGGTAACTAATTTCTTAATGTATAATATTAAAATGTTCAGGAATACTAGTAATAACATTCTTATAAAGAAATCTGAAACAGTATTTTTTCCTGTTATTATAGTAATTAAAATTTTAAACCAGGGCTAAATTAAACTGGATCACAGAGGATGCACCTAGTGGTGCGATGGCCCTAGAGATGGAGCTCTCACCTCACAATCAGGAGGCTATGAGTTCAATCCTAGGTAGAGACAGATATTTCTGTCTCTGGGCACGATGAGAATATATCTGGTGAACAAAACTCCACGTTGGTGACAGGAAGGGCATCTGGCCAGTAAACACTACAATTCATTCAGTTGCCCAGATTCCACCCTGCAAGGGATTGTGGGGTCATTAAAAGAAGATGATGACAGAGGTCACATTTGACAAGAAAGACAAGCTTAAAATATGCATGATTAACACTAAGCTTTGTCATGTTAGCATCTCCAACATTTCAGAGCAAAAATAACTTGCAGTAATTACTAAAAGAAGCTGATGCTTCTTTTGCTACAAGCTTGAGTGATAATTAATTTTTCCTTCTTTAAAGGTGAAAAAGTATTATCAAAATAAGGATTTCACTGCAGTTGGTAGTGAATTATTCTTTCAAATGTCAGTGAATTTCAGAACGACTCTATTATAGAGGCAGAAGAGAATAAAGATATTTTCTACGTGTAAAATACACTAGAGTAAATAGTGATGATCCCAGAGGTGCTTTTTCAAAAGGCAACTGGGATTTGTTTTTCCTTGAAGACATTTTGCTTCTCATCCAAGAAGCTTCTTCAGTTCTGACTAAATGATTGCAGGATGGAAGGATTTATATTCCTTACAATCATGTGGTCGTCAGTGCTCTTTCTGAGAGCCGTTGAGGCCACTTGGAGGTTTATCTGGGCCCTCAGGGTCACCTGAATAGAGCAAATGGATGTGGAACCTTCTTGGAACTGTTGAAAGGACTCAGATGTAAACAGGTGGTGTCGTATCCCTAGCCCTCTATTGAGAAAAGAGTGTTCAATCTTAATATAGATGGCCTCTTTGATTCCTCTTTCAAAACAGCAGTCTTCCTTCTCCAGAATGTGGACTTTGCTGTCCTGTTTTTCCCTTTGGTTTTTGCAGTACAAATTCATACCCTTGCCAAGGCAGTGATGGAACTAATTTCTAGACAGTCTACTCTAACCTGTGCCTCCTTCAGAACTCCTCAATTCTAATAGCCAATTGCAAAGAATATGGAGAATTGGAAGTCTTGACACCTGAAAGGCACATAGACAGAGGAAGGCTATCATAGGCTTTTGTGTGTGTGTGTGTGTGTGTGTGTTGTTGTTGTTGGTGGTGGTGGTGGTGGTGTGGTGGTGGTAGTATATTGTAATTCTAGTAAATACCTGGAGGTTTCTTCTTTACTGTTTGACATTTTCTGATCATTTCAGCGATTAACATCACTGCCAGCAACAAAATTAACTTTAATCCTCCATGATCAGCACAAAATTATCTCTAGGCAGTTTCAGTGAATTGCATGAAGACTCTGTGGTTTGGTAAAACTTGGACTTTCACACTATATTTATAACATTTCTTTAATACTTGGGGAAATGCATTACTTCAGTGCTTGAGCTGTCAGGTGCAAGAAACAGAAAGACACAGCAAACTGATCAGATAAAGGTATTTATTGCTACTTGTCTATTTAAAAGAATCTCACCAGACTAAATGCACTCTCCTGCAAACAACCAGATTACAAGGGATTTGGAGGAGAAGGAGTCAAGTTTCCTTTACTGACTCCCCCCTTCATGGAGACCAGTCTACCCAGACTCTCATTTCAGCTGCAGATTCTACTACATTAGCACAGACCTGGCTAAAAAAAATTAGTTGTTTTATTTTTTGTTTGTTCTAGAGAAATAAACATTTCTCTAGAGTGCTCTAAAGTACATATTATTTAGATAACACACTATATTTAGGAATGAAAATTAAGTGCTTCCAGGATATGCATGGCTAGAAGAATCCGTTCCAAAGAACCTATAGTAGAACATTCATCAATAAAAAAATAGTCAGCCCTATGCATGGTTATATAGAAAGAAGTGCTGTTAGTCCTGAATAATTATTCTTCATAGTTCATTAATATGCTAGAGATCATTCTCATAATCTATAGAGATGGCTGTTTTTTTAACAAAATAAATATGTAAGATATGATGGTAAACAAATAACGTATCAGTGAATAGAATGAGTCTTCAATAAACTTTAAAAAACAAAATATTGTAACTATACATTTCTTTTTCCTGTTGCTTGGTTTGCAGAAAAATGTTATTTAGGATCAGTTGTGTTACATGACCAAGTTCATCCATTTTGGGTTGTCCACCTGAGAGGAATATTGCAACTTTAAACACTGCTGAATGTTTTCCAGTGTATAAGGTTGAAAATAAGTTCCTTTTAACTGCACATAATTCACTTATTTTGTTTAAATTTTACAGAATATTGATCGAGTGGTGTTTGTAGGCAACTTCCTGAGAATCAACACAGTTGCTATGAAGGTGCTAGCCTATGCCATGGACTATTGGTCAAAGGGACAACTCAAAGCTCTTTTTTTGGAACATGAGGTAAAAACCATTTAAAAAAAAGCATTATATTATTAATATGGTAATGTATTTATTTATGAAGTTTGTTTGCCTCCCATCTCACTAGGTGGATTATAACATCAATAAATTCCTGTCATAGCTATCATTATTGATAATTTTCAATCTAAATCAAGGGAAATGATGGCCCTTTTATGACTTGTGGACTTCAATTCCCAGAATTGAATTCTGGGAGTCCAAGACCACAAGTCATAAAAAGGCCATCATTACCCACCCCTGCTTTAAATTATGAATGTCTGTTGTATAAGGCAATATCTGCATAAGGTATCTGTTTTAGTAGTTGTGAGGGAATATTAGACAAGAAAGAACATCAGGCTTCATCTCATTGGGTCCTTCTGCTGATGAAAGAGTATTTGATCCAGCAGAGATTATAGAAGCAAACTCCTATCAGAAAGCAGTAAGGAGGTTGCTTGTTTTAAAACAAGTCCCTTTTCACTCGGTGAAATTTATCGGTGGGACTTCTGAGTGGATAGGTAGGATTACATTGCTAATTTTCTACCTTTCCTTTGTTTACAATTATAAGCTGCCCAGAGTAAGATGGGTGGACAATACATTTCAGTAACTGAATTCTATTGGAAGGCAATACCAGAGTAATTATTGATATATCCTGTACCATATAGATAGCAGCGGCTTGTTTGTGCTAGAACTGTGCAGAATCATGCACAGATGACATTGCCTTGGCAGATGACATTGTCTTTTGTGAAAGGTCAGTGTGGAACGGCCTTGCTAAGCCCTTGAGGGGATGCACTGTTTTAATACTGAGCTCCTCAGCAGACCTACAGAATGACCTTCTGAATGATTTTGCACAGCCTTGGGGTATATGGGGAATTTTAGCTTTATCACACACATTTTTTTCCTGCTTGACTTATTCTGGTGAAGATTATCTTTTGCTACATGTTAAACTTTGGAACAAGCTTGTGATGCTGTTTCAGGTTGAGTGTGTAATGGTCATCGGTGGCAAATTTTCTAAAAATATGAGTACTTAAGTTTTTTAATGAATCAACGAAGATTTTGGTTAAAAATAAGAGGTTTTTTAAAAAAAGAATAACCCCTTTTTGGTTCTTTATATCTTTTTGTCACATCTAATATTTACTAAATAGGTGGATGCATATAAATTAGCTAATGTTAATCCTTTTCTCTGTGATTTTGTGCATTTTCTCCTACAGCCTTAAAAAAATACTCCCAGTGTTAAATATTGCAATAATTTAGTTTGGATTTGTTTTTGCTAACTCCTCCTTTTCAATCATTTTGAAGGGTTATTTTGGTGCTGTGGGGGCGCTTCTAGAACTGCTCAAAATGACTGATGATAAATGAGGAACCTTCTAGAAGCTAAAGGAGCCGTCAAAGCTGCTTGAAGGATGACAGCTGCTAGGAAGATGGGAAAGAAGCCATGATGGCTGTTCTACCTGCTGGATTTATAAATACTGTAATAATTTAAACTTATTTTAGCTGATCTTTTAAATTTAGGGATGGACGTTAACTTCAGACTTTGTACCAGGCATTTTTATGGGGGTACAACATTTTTAAGATAAATGTGCAGTGTGGCCAATTTTTATGGATTGTGTCTAAAAAATAGGCATCTTGTAGAAAAAGGACCTAAATTATAAGATACTGGTATATTATTGTTATTTTCTTCTGGGGTTTACTGATCTAGTGTGATAATGATTCGTTTAGTAATCACTCTAGGAGATTTTTTTTAAATCTTTCATGACGTTTCATGATCGCTGTTGGTTTCAAATGAAACTGCAAAGCTGGCATATAGTGTGAACACTAAAATAATGAATATTGCTGCCTTCATTCTGTTAAACTATGCTCATTTCCTTCATAAAGTACTGCCTTTGTTTAGCTGTTCATGTCAGCAGTAGTAAATAGTACTTTTAGATGTGTCATCAAATCTACTGAAAAGAAAGATAATACCTCAATTTACACCTTATGAAAACTCATATATTCAGTACTTATTCACTGTAGTTTGAAAATCCTTATTTCTGGTTCTCTTAGCCAAACACATGTGATTATTGAATAAAAGAAAGGCCAGAGATGATTGGAAGGGCAGTAAATGACACATGTGTGATGTCACACAAATTATGCAACTTATGCAAATGCATCATGATGTCGTTGCATAAGCCCTTCATTGGTACAGTGACTTCAAGACCCATCTGTCTTCCTTTTGATGTCATTGCAACTTGTAATGGATGCTTCTGGATGAGGTATTAAACATGTTGTGTCATTGAATGATCTTTCTGCAGTGGATAAAATGCCTCTGGATTGCATATTCAAATTACTGTCTTTGTAATTTTTTTTATTGCAAAAGAAAAAGAAAGAAAAAATAAATTACTATGGTATACTGTAACAGTCCAGAAATAGGCTTACTTCATCTTCACTTGTGAAAAGTCAACTCTGAAGGACAGTAATTTTTATGGTAAATACACACATTGGAAGACTTGTTATGCTATATTTTTAATATATTTAAAATGTCAGACATGTCATTTTTTTTTGTCCATTGTTAAAAAGCCACATTGAAATTAGCCAATGATTGGTTGTATTAAAATTATAAACACAGTGTTATTTACTGTATTAATCTCTATTTTTTATTCTGCTTTCAAATTCTACAGGGGCCATTAAGGGAAAATATAGTTTTATTGAGTAAGTATCCTCTAGTAAATTGGATTGTTTAAAATAGATATTTGATTTCTTTACCTTGAAACTTTCAATACATTAACATACATTGGCTTATCTGGCTGGAATAAAAGTACATTATTACTGTGATGATTTGTAGTGTATTTATGGCCTTAAGTAGAAAGAATAATTACACTTTAGAACCTTGGTGTTGGAGAAATTCCTGAGAATTCTAGTGATGTAAACAAGAAAACAAACAAAGTAATCAAAGCAATACAGAGTTTTCACTCAAATAACCAGGCTTCAAATTAAGCAAAATGCATAGACTTAATTGTAGATAGTCCTCAACTTGACAACTATTCATTTAGTGACTGTTTGAAGTTACAATGGCACTGAAAACAGTGATTTATGATCATTTTTTACACTTAATAACCACTGCAGTATGTGATCATAATTCAGACACTTGATAACTAGCATGTATTTGGTTGCAGTGGCCTGGGGTCACGTGATTACCTTTTATGATAAGCAAAGTCAATGGAGAAATGAGATTCACTTAACAATTGTATTACTAACAACTGCAGTGATTCACTTAACAATTATGGTAAGAATTTATGGTTATAAAATTGCGCAAAATTCATTCAAAGACTGTCTCAGCATCAAAACCTTTGGACGCAGTTGTGGTTATAAGTCGAGGACTACCTATATAAAGATGATGGATACACCTTTGGAAGACCTGAAAGAACAGGTTGGAAACTGATCATCCTGGAGAAGATGTATCTATGTAGTCACTATGTAGTTAACATTGCTTTTTGTATAATTTTGTGAAGGATTATATTAAACAGATAAGGCAAAAACCTACTACAAAAATACATTTTAAAAATGAAATATTTAGAAAGTGAACAATTCCCTCCTTAACAAAAAGGGGAAAAAAAGGAAAATATAGGAAACTTCTCCCTTCACCCGTCAAAAATTCAACATTCAACATTAATGGCCTATTGCCATCTCTTACAATGCAACCAAATACTTCCATTCCATACTCACCCCATTTTCTATAAACTCATCTCTTAAGTCTTCAATTCTCTTTATTAATCACGAAAGACCCAATAAAATTAAGAGCTAGAATTGCTTGATGGGATTTTATTAATCGATTGGCCTTTAGTAGCTACAGGTTTTCCTTTGGATTCCCAATAAAGTAATGACATCGGATGAACCTAGGTAGCATATCTTCTCTGTTGTGGCTCCTGCCCTCTGGATTTCCCCTGGGGTTCATTGCTCTGATTCTATAAGCCTTTCAATGATTTCTGAAAACATGGCTTTCCCCACAAGGTCTGGGATAAGTCTTCGCGTGTACATCAATATGCAATATTGGTTCAGTTCGGGCATGTTTGTTTCCCCCTGGGATATATTGTGTTCATTTCTGTTAACCGTATTTAGGTATTGAAAATGTTTTAAATCTGCATGCTGCTCATGGCAAATTTTGCATTGGGAAGCCTTATAAATACAGTTCGTTTTAGTTTTGCTTTAGCAATATCATTTTCTCCAGAGAATGTAAACACACAAACTTTTCCCATCATTGTTAATCGGGGCCATTTTGATCACACACTTCACTTCATGATTTATTAGTTCTTAGTTTTTGCTTGTCAGAGCTTCAGATAGCAAACTAATAATAGTGAGAGATTTCACAGGGCTTCCTGTGAAATTTTCAGTGATGGGGATGATGAAGAGAGTTGGCCTTCAACTGCTCAGCATCATACAGTATTTCCTTATTGGACAATAAGGATTTGTGATTCCAATTAATCATGGCCAATACGGTGGCTCCCAAGTGACCAGCTGTGAACTACATGCCCTCTTATGCCCAGTGGAACACTTGCAACCACAGCTTCAGGGATCCAAATGGCCTGAACACCAGAAGGTGTAGAAAGTGAGAGAACCAGATCGCCTGATTCCTTCACCACCCTTTGCCAAAATATAGACAGTTCCACTTTCCCGGTTTTTATGCTGGTTTCACCAAATACTACCCCTTCCATGCCCCTCAAAGTCTGTCATCTTATCGCCAGAGAGGCTAAGCAAAAGTTGCATATATGGTGCATACTTGGCTCAGCGTTTTCATAAAACATTACGAATGCACCTGTCTCTCCAAGGAAATGACCATCAGGTTGCTACATGGTTGTCCATTTCCTCCTTTACAAAAATGTCTTAAGATAAGTTTTATGTCTTGAGCCAAACATTATCTGGCAGAAGAAAATAGTTCCCAACAAGGATTAGGCCCCCACCCCACCTCCAAATTGGAACAGTTGTGCAAGGTCTCAGTCTAGAATCCCCCGGTAAGAAAGCTAATTATGTCTTTAATCAGTCAACTTGAATAGCCACCCTCCTCAGCAGAAGACTTGGAGTAACCTATATCGCAAACAGTGGGAAAATCAATAAAAGCTACATAATAAAATATAAAAATTCAGAGAAACAACACAGAACTGAAGAAGCTTTTTGAATGAGAAGCAAAACATCTTCAAGGAAAAATGAAGTCCAGTTACCTTTTGGAAAAGCACCTTTGGGACCACTATGACCTGGATGACTGAGAATCTCCATCCGATTCCTAGATCAGATTCTTAGGGAAAGAACCAGGTCTCTAAAGCTTTTTGAGAGGCAGGCAGACTAGTTTAATGGGATTGTGGAGGTCTAGGAAATGATATTCTACAGGGTGAAAGCAGCAAGAGAGAAGGTACACTGTTTGTTGTGAAGGGCCTTTTATAGCAGGAAGAGACATCCAGCTTATCCAGGCACAGGTGGAAAAAAAGGGCAGAGATATTTCTCAGGAAGCCCATTTATATTCCAATCAGGTATTCTGTGTTCTTGCCTTCTAAGGACTCTAATTTCCATGAGCTCTCCTTGTACTTTGACATTTTGAAATGGGAAGAAAGCCATCTCTTCCCACAGAAACCAACATCAGAAGACTAGCTCTTTTTCCAGAATTAGTGGGAGCGAGACTCACTGTGCTATAGAAAACAAGATCTTCCATATAACTCCAGGATCGTGCTCTATTAATAGCTCATGGAATAACAACTCACGCAATATTACCCTCAAAAGGTTTTAGAGTATTAATTAGCACATTCCATCTAATCTGTCCAGTAAACTAATTGAAATGATAAAACCCTCCCCAAGTCATAATCAGTGGGGTTATTTTTCAGATTAATTGGATAATTAGAAAACAATCAAGCTCATTTATAGAGGCGCATTTCATGAATTGTTTTATACATTTAGATTTCTGTTATTTTCCATGCTGGCTTTTACTAATCTTGATAACTGCATTCGCTCCCGTCATTTATTTCCAACTGCCAAATTTTACAGCTTTCACTGAGTCAGCTGTAGGTGAACTTTTGATGTTTGCTAGCAAAATGTTCTGCCAACCTTGTTCTGAATTTTTGAATCAGTCTTTGAATGATATTTACCTCTTTACTTCTGAGCAGAAGCCCAGCGTCCAATTCTGCTTCGATGATTACTACTGATACTGTTAGTCTATATCAGAGGTCTCCAAACTTGGCAACTTTTAAGACTTGTGGACTTCAACTCCCATAATTCTCCAGCCATCTATGCCAAGTTTGGGGACCCCTGCTCTATATGTTCTGCGATATGGTTAATAGCCAGGGGTGGAATTCAAATTTCTTAACAACCGATTATGTGGGCGTGGCCTAATTTGTGGGTGTGGCTTGGTGGTCATGTGACTGGCTGGGTGTGGCTTGTATGTAAATATTGCAAATATATATGTAAAGATTGAATTTTTTATTTTTAAAAAAGAGCAACTTTTACCCAAAATCAGGCAAAGCAGGCAGGCAGATTGAACTGCTTGCAGAATCACAGCTTCACTTCCAGATCTACCTTTCTGCAATCTGCTGCCTGAGTCTGCACTGAAAAATAGAAGCTTCAATCCTAAGGAAGGTTCAGCTCCGCTCTCAGGATACTTCTCCCTCCCCCAACCCCCGGAATGCCAACCCTGACTGGGCCTCAGGAAAGCCTCCTAGGCGGGCGGGTGGGGAGGGGGGAGCCAGCCAGTGGTGTGATTTGCCGGTTCTCTGAATTGCGCAGAAACAACTGGTTCTATAGAATTGATCCAAACTGGTAGAAACCCACCCCTGTTAATAGCATATGCCTCAGTGAATTGCTTTGGATGGGAATGCTCTGGAAAGCACAATGCAGGTCCAGAACTACCTTACCTGAGCCTCTCAAGGCCTCCTCCACTCCTTGAGGCACCCTATGCCCCTCAGAGTCCCCACAGGCCTGCTTCCGATGCATCCCACACCATCCTCCCTATCCTTAATACTTAACTTTTATTGTGGATCTTCTAGAAGCAGCTCCCACACTGCACTGCCTTCCTAAAAAAACAAAGGCTGCTTGGCTCTCTCCCAGGAGCAGAGAATGAGAATTGGGAGAGAATGAATGGTGGCCACTTGGAAATGGTGCCCATTTCCAGGACGGAGCTACTTGGCCTTTCCGAGGTTCTGCTGTAACCTCAAACGGTTGCTTAGCAAACTGTTGTAAGTTAACTACTTGTATTATTATTTTTATAAATAACTCAAGATGGTAAATATAGATAACACTGTAAGATCCAGTTTGGGATGGTCACCGAACCAGAGGTTTAGTCTTCTGAGCTTTCAGACTTGTGCTGGAGCCCATCCTCAGAGAAATTCTCTCTACCGGAGTGTATGCTTCGGGCTATTCTATGCACCATATTTATGTTCCTATTGATTGATTGGTGTATTGAAGGCTGGTAATTGGCTGTTGTTTCCTTGTCCTGCCAAATCCTCAGCTCTTAAAATACCTGATGGTAACTCAGCATTCCTGTTAACTGGCAAGGGGTCCCATTTCCCAGGCTTCAGTCATTTCCCTGGCTACCTTTGTGTCTGCATGACCAACAATGTTAGTAGCTGCAAAACTGAATGTATGTAATACTCCTTCTTCCTCTTACTTTCCCAATAACCACCACCTTGTGCGTTGAGTTGGGTTGAGAGAGTGATTGGCCCAAAGTCACCATCCAGCTTTCTGGTGCCTTAACCACTAGACCAAATCAGCAATTACTTAGGCTATGCGTAAGAGGAGTGTTTGGCTTTGACATCCTTTCAAACTGCTTCCTTTGCTTCTTTCATTGAGAAACAGTG